GAATGGCAGGAATATGACCCAGAGAGACACAGAGGAGAGGAGGGCAGCCTGAGAGGCAGAGTGAACGGAGGGAGGCAGGGTGGGAGTGGGCAGGTAGTGGGACCGTAGATTTTGTTCCACTAGAAGCAAACCTCGCTTCCAGACCATTCTGGGGCCCAGGACAGGTGGTGGGGAGAGAAGCAAGCTCGGTGCTTAGCGTGTATGATACAGGCCGACTGGGGAGGGAGGGAGGACCGCCCCCTTGGGGGTTAGGCTGGTCAGTGACCACCCAGGCTCCCTGCAGCACACCCGCTGGCCTCACACAGACCCGGGCCACCCGCCCGGGATGGCCGCCCGCCCGCCGCCAGGCTCCGGTCTGATTACAGCCAGAGTGCTAAGAGGCTCCAGACCCCAGGCCCCGCCCCAGGCCTCCCCTCCTCCTTCCCCTTCTCCCTCAGCTCCCTCTCCTCCTATACCCAGGCCCCTGGGGGGAGCAGTCCACTCCCGTTGGCCCCTGGCTGGGAGGAAGGGGGTCCCTGCCCTACCAGGCGCCCTCCCACGGTTTGGGACTGGATGCCTCTTCCTTCTAAGCCCTCTCGGCCCGGCCTCGGGGAGACATGCTCCACGCCTGGCCTGGGAGCTCAGAAATACCGAGCAGAGGTGGGTCCGCTGTGTACAGAACGTGGGGCCGCCCCCAGCCCCTTCGGAAGCCCCTGGGTGCTTTGCAAGCTCCTGTCTCTTCCCTGGACACCTGCGCGGAGAGGCTGGGCACGGAGACAGGGCAGGGGCCGGGCAGGGGCAGGGGGGACCTGGCCCCATCTCCAAGGAGACTTGCCTCGGTTTGCAAAGACATCTCAGGGAAGGCGGCTCAGGGCCCCTTGTGCAAGCAGCAGGCGCAGGAATTCCTTGACTCCCATCCAAGCCTCCCCCCAGCCCCTTCCCGGCCTTTCTCTCTGCTCATGACCATCCGCACCACCTCCCACCCACGGGGAGAGAGAAGGTCATCGCCACAGGGGCCCGGGGCAGGGGGGGGCCTCCCGGGAGGGCAGGATCTGTGGGGTAAGAGCTGTTTACCCACCTCTGAGCTCCTAGGGCCCCCCTCTGCTCCCCTCCCCGGGCCAGCAGGAACTCACACGGCCCAGGCCCACGCACACCGCCAGAGCACAGCATGGAGGGTGAATGCCAAGTCTGAGCGGCCCCCTGGGAGCAGGGTATGGTGAGAGGGCGGGGGCTGGGGTGCCACCTGGAGGAGGGAGGAAGGCCTGGCTCTAAAGCTGGGTGGGCGCCGCCCTGCTGGGGACCCAGGGACCGGAGCTGGGGGGAGAGGGTGCCCGCATCCTCCTCCCGGTCTCTGCTGAGCGGGCACAGCTAAGCCTCGGGCGCCCCCCTCAGACGGCTTCATGGTACTTGTCAGAAAACGACCTCTCTCAGCCTCCGTGTCCTTCAAATGTCCTGGCCAGTGCTGGGCGCACAGCAGGCGCTCAATAAGTGCCTACACAACTCCATGCAGGCCCCTCCAGCCCCGGCTGTGCCTCCCAAGCCCGTGGCTCTCTCCCCAGGCTCCCCTTCGGATGGATGGACCGACGGCGGGGCGGGAGGGAGGAGCAGGTCAGGCGCTCCCGAGCCTCTGGCCTTGACCCTCTGCCTGGAAGGCCCACAACAAGCCCTTCCTTGCGTGAGGAGCTGAGCGCTGGGTGGCGTCTAAGACCTTGAGCCTGGAAGTTTATTTTGGGCTTTGAAACGCCAAAGTGGCAGATCCCAGAAAACCTCTTCTCTGGCTCCGCGCTTGCTCTCCAGTTAAGTGGCTGGAGCTGCTCTTGCAGTCAGCTGGCTCCTGCGACCCGGGTTCCTCCTGGGGGGCCGGGGGCTCGAGGGAAGGGGAAGAGGAGGAGGAAGGAGTGGAGCCCCACCCCCGACTGTCCACGCCGGGCAGCGTGGCCTGTGAGCCATGGGGGGAGACCTGTCCCTCACCCCCTTTCCTCCTTTTGGAGTTGCTCTTTCTGGGGGGCCCCCAGCTCAGCAGCGTGCTTTGATAGCTGAGCATCTGTGTTGTGCCAAGACACGGTCCCACTTGACGGTGAAGACAGCCGAAGCCAAGGGAAGGGCCTCATCAGTGCGTTTGGGGCCCGTGGGGTGAGTCCACCCAGGGCTGGGGCCGATGTGGTCATCCGCACCCGCCCTGCGGCCTCGGCCCATGTGTCACACCCAGGCCTGAGCGCCCAGCGGGGCGGGAGGCCCAGCGTCCAGGTGGGGTGGGCTGGGAGGAGGGGAGAGGGCGGTCCGGGGCAGGGGTGCGGCCCCTCCTCTCACCTGCCCTCTCAGGAGAGCTCAGACCAAGGGCAGGGGGCAGGGGCGGGGGCGGCTAGCCGATCTCTGTGTTCAGTCCTCTCCCGCTCCCACCCACCTTTCACCTCCCCCCCCCCCCCCCCCCCAGGCGGGCACCTCTGCCCGGCACAGCACGGGCCACCCCGCCCCCGCCCTCAGCCTCCCCGCTCCGGCCCGCCCTCCCAGCTCCGCGGACGGGTCTGTGCCGGCTGCGGGGGTCCTCCTGCAAGCCTTTGGGCGCGCCTTAGTGAGACCGGCTGCTCGCCCGGTTACAGCTCTGTTTGTCCTCCTCGCGGCGTTCCTACACACTATCCTGTGTTTTACTCAGGATGTTTCCTGTTTATCGTCCATCTTCTCCCCGTAAACAGTAAGCTCCATGAGGGCTTTGCTCACTGGGTGTCCTGGTGCTGAGCATGGGGCACGTGGTAGGGAGAAGTATTTGTTGGATGGATGGATGGATGGATGGATGGATGCACTCGGGCCCCTGATGCAGCAAGTGGCTGAGGAGTGAGAGTGGGGGAGGGGATGAAGGTCCCTCTGAGCCCTCATCTCCCGCTCAGCCTCTGGGGTGTCCTCCGCCCCCCCCCCCCCGGCCTCTGGGGTGTCCTCCCGCCCGGCCTCTGGGGTGTCCTCCCGCCCAGCCTCTGGGGTGTCCTCCCGCCCTGCCTCTGGGGTGTCCTCCCCCCCAGCCTCTGGGGTGTCCTCCCGCTCAGCCTCTGGGGTGTCCTCCCGCCCGGCCTCTGGGGGGGCCTCCCGCCCAGCCTCTGGGGTGTCCTCCCCCCAGCCTCTGGGGTGTCCTTCCCCCCCCCCCCCCCCCGCCTCTGGGGTGTCCTCCCGCCCAGCCTCTGGGGTGTCCTCCCGCCCAGCCTCTGGGGTGTCCTCCCGCCCGGCCTCTGGGGTGTCCTCCCCCCCCCCCCCCCCCGGCCTCTGGGGGGTCCTCCCGCCCGGCCTCTGGGGTGTCCTCCCCCCCCCCCGCCCCCGGCCTCTGGGGTGTCCTCCCGCCCGGCCTCTGGGGTGTCCTCCCCCCCCCCCCGCCTCTGGGGTGTCCTCCCGCCCGGCCTCTGGGGTGTCCTCCCGCCCGGCCTCTGGGGTGTCCTCCCGCCCGGCCTTTGGGGTGTCCAGGGCCAGCTGCGCCCTGTCCGCTCACACCCAGGCGTCTCTCACACCCCGACCGAGACCTGACAGTGCGTCTGGGGTGGAGGGGGCGAGCGCGTTGTTTACACCAGGCTTTATGGTTTAGATAAACCAAGGGCAGAGGCAGAAAGACACCTGGAAGTGAGGGGCGAGGCGGGAGAAACTGAGGCCGGAGAGGGGTTGGGGCCAGATCCCAGACGAACTCCCCAAGTTGGAAGACCCTGGGTTTTAAAGGCCACTGCGCCCCCAGAGGCTCTGCCCGCGGGCCTGGGAGTGCCGGCCGGGGCGGGAGGTGTGTGTGTGGGGGTGTTTGAAGGGGACAGGAGGGGTGTGTGTGTGTGTGTAGGTGTGTGTGGGGGAGAGATGTGTGTGTGGGGGTGTTTGAAGGGGACAGGAGGGGTGTGTGTGTGTGAGTGTGTGTGAGTGTGTGTGTGTAGGTGTGTGTGGGGGAGAGATGTGTGTGTGGTGGGGGTGTTTGAAGGGGACAGGAGGGGTGTGTGTGTGTGTGTGTGAGTGTGTGAGTGTGTGTGTGTGTGTGTGTGTGTGTAGGTGTGTGTGGGGGAGAGATGTGTGTGTGGTGGGGGTGTTTGAAGGGGACAGAAGGGGTGTGTGTGTGTGTGTGTGTAGGTGGGGGGAGAGATGTGTGTGGGGCGGGATGGGAGGAGTGGGAGTGGGGGTGTGAAGAGTCACTTTCACCTCCTACCCCTTCCCGGTTTGCACGCCCCCAGGCAGAGGGGGAGGGAGGGGGGAGGGGAGCGGAGGGAGGGGAGGGGGGAGAGGAGAGGGAGGAGGGAGCACTGGGGAGGAGGAAGGGGGGAGGCGAAGGAGAGACATGGCTCCGGGTTTCCCCGCTCCAGCAGGACCCCATCCGGCCCCTGTTGGGGGCCGGGAGCCGCCCAGCTGTTTCTGATTCTTTCCCACTCGCAGCCCCGCCCGGGGCACCGGGGAGCCTGGGCTCTGAGCCCGCGGGGAGGGGTCCGGGCGGCAGGTGTGCCCCTCGGTCCGGCCGCCGCCGGCTCCGCGGGCGGAGGGAAGCGGGGCCGGGCGGGCGGACGCGCGGACGCCAAGTCCACAGGCGGTTGGGGTGCGGGGTGCGGGGTGCGGGGTGCGGGGACTGGGCCGGAGCCTAGAGAGGAGGCCCTGCCGGGGCCGCTGCCCACGCGCCCGGTTGGCACGGCTGAAAGGGAGTGAGATCCCCGCATCTTGCCGATCCTGCCCGTTTCACAGCGGCGCCGGGACCGAGAGGCCCGAGAGCACGAGGGCGTCCCCTCCGCTCGGGCCGTGTCCCTGCGGGCGGCGGGCGGCGGGCGGCGGAGGGTCTGCGGGCTCCGCTCCCGCCGGCGCCGCGGGCTGGGCTGCCGGGGCGGGGCGCTAGGACCCGGGGGCGCGGGGCTCGGAGGGGCGCCCGCGGGGCCTGCCCGGCAGGTGGGGGCCGGGGTGCGGAGCGGGGCCGGGGCCACACCGCGGGCGCCGCGGGCGGAGCCGCCTGAGCCGCGTGTCCCGGCCCCGGCCCCGCCCCGCGCCGTCCAATGAGAGCCCGGCCGCGGGCTCCGCACTCCGCCGCCGCCCCGTCCGCGCCGGCCACACTGCCACCCGCGCCGGCGGTGCGCCCCGGTCCCGAGCCCCGCGCCCCGCTCCGGAGCCCCGCGCCCGCCCCGGACCCAGGTGCCTCGGCGCGCAGCGGCCGCCGGCCCATGGCCCCCCCGGGGGGTGAGTAGGGACCGGAGCGCCCGGCGGAGCCCCCGCCCTCGGGAGCCGGGGCGCTATGCGGGGGCGGCGCGGTGCGGAGGACGCCGCGCAGCTGCCCCCTCGGCGCGCCCGCGCCCCGCTCCCCGCGCCCCGGCCCGCGGCCCCCGACGGCGCCCGGGCCGCCGCCCGCCTGAGCCTCGCCTGCGCGCTGCTGCTGCTGCTGCTGACGCTGCCGGCCCGCGTGGACACGTCCTGGTGGTGAGTGGCCCCGGGGCCGGGCGGCCGGAGGGAGGAACAGCAGCTCGGGGGCCGGGCGGCCGCTCAGACGGCGTTAGAGACGCCCCGGCGGGGCTGTCACTGCAGCGGCGGCGGCGGTGGGCGCAGGCTCTCCGCAGCACGGACGCCCGGGGGTCGAGGCTTTCCAGAACCCCAGATGCCGGCCGTGCGCAGCTTTCAGCTCAGCCCTCTTAGGGCCAAAGCTCCCTCCCAGGGCGGATTCCAGAAAGAGCCGCCGCCCTGGGCCCTCGGGGACCGTCCAGCAGGAGCCCCATCCCCGATGGCCGGGCCCGGGAGGTGGAGAAGCGGGTGCGCGCGGGTGGAGGAGCCTCTTCCTCGTCCCCCCATCCGGTCACGCAGCAAGGCCTGGGGCGGCGGCAGTGCCCGGCGAAGGGTTAGAGGGGATCCAGGGCAGAAAGCCGACCCCATTAACCCCCACAATGAAAACAAAACCCGGGGCTTGCCCAACTAGGCACTGCTTTCAGGCTCCGTTTTAGGGACGTCAGCTCGAACCTTGCTATCTCCTTTTGGGCTGCTTCTCTTCTTCCCACGTCTCTCCCCTCCGGGAACGGGAACGAGGCGCCCTGGCCCCCAAACACTGAGACCCGCCCCTCAGATTTCTTGCAGGCCTTACACTCCAGACACTTCCCGAGAGAGAGGAGCCAAAAGGCGTTACAGAATGGCTCCATGCCTGTGCTCCCAGCCCCTGGATGGCCCTGTCTCCCCCTGGATGGGCAGGGGGAGGGTTGGGCGGGGGAAAGGCTCAGGCTTCTCATCTTTCCTCTTCACCCCCCAAAATGGTCTCTTGGACTGGGTTTCTGCCCCTCTGTGCCCGGCCGGTGCCCGCCTTCCTGTCTTCACTCTGCCCCCTCCACCTCGGAGTGCGGTCGCTCTCCCCTTCCACCCCGCGGCTTCCTCCCGGACTGGAATCTTGGCTGAAGGGCGAGGGTACCAGCTGAGGGGCCGGCGAGCTTGGGCGGCAGATTCCTATCATTTCAAGATGCGTCTCTCACCACCACCCCCAACCCCGTTTTCCTGTTTCAGAAAAATCTCTTGTTTTTTCTTTTTATCTTTTTTCTATCTCTGCAGTGTTGTGGAAGGCAAGGAGGGGGGTTCTGGATGGGGGAGAAGGGCGGCCCATATCTCCCATCTGGCTGGAAACATTCCTTTAGAAAGGGAAAGGGAAGAAGGGGGCCGAGGGGAAGAGCCTTTCACAGTTCAGAGCGAGCCCACAGCCGTCCTCTGCCCGCCGGGCCGTGTGGCTGGGGACACGTCCTCAGGGGCCGGCAGAGGGAGGGAGAAGTGGCCGCTGCACATCTTTACCCGCCCAGAGGGCAGTTGGCTTTTAGGGAGTCCCGATGCCTGCCTTCCAGTGTGGGGTGCTGTCTTGGGGGCCATGTGGTGTTGGGGTGAGGAAGTATGGAGTCAGTCTGGGAGTTCAAGCATGCTAGGGGTGGTCCCCAAAACCCATCTGGAGTTCTTCCTAGTCCCCATTTTGTCCCCGTGGCGACTGTCTCAGCCTTTTCCTTTCTCTCTCTACTACATGCCCCCCACGTGGTTCATATTAAAGGTTTTGGGGAAAGTCCTGGGTGGGAAGCAGGCGGGTGAAGCAGAGATCCAGCAGTCCTGGGGGAGGGAGGAGGGGGGAGGGGGGAGGAGGAGGCAGCAGCAGGCCAGGATGGGGAGGGGAGGGGCGTGAGTGCAGAGGGTATTCCATCTCCTGGCTGCACACCGGCCCCCATGCCTGCCTCTGTGAGCACCACTTCTGGGATACAGTGGAAAGCTGCTTTCCAAAGGCTGGTCAGGCCCCCAAGGGGGGTCTCTCTCTCCCATAGGAAAACCCCAGCAAGACTGGTCCTCAGTCCAATCCCCGGAGGAGAGGCCGCTGGCTGTGTGTGTCCCTGTTCCACTCTGGAGCAGCCATCGCTCTCACAGCGACGAGCCTGGGACTGGCTGCTCTTCCTGCCAGCCCTTCCCTTCTTTCCACCCACTGCTTCCCTCTGCTCCTCTCGCTGGAGAAGGCAGTGATGGGCTCTTCGGAGTCTGTAACCAACAGATACAGGCTCCTGACGTGTGCTTCCCTATTCCGTTTTGCAGGGGTGGGACATGTCGTGAATTCACAAAGGGAGAGAAACAGAGTGGCATCACAGCATTATTCCTGCCACGTGCCGAGCTCTTACGAAGCTCCAGACACGACGGCTAAACACATTATGGCATCATCATCTTCAGTCCCCCAGTAATCCAGCATGGCAGGTGCTGTTATTATCCCCGTTTCACATAAGAAGCAAGTGAGGAATAGGAGGGAATGGCATTCTGAAGTCAGATGGGCCCATCCTGGCTAAGCCTCCTTGGAGTGAAGATGGCCTTGGACTCTGGAGTTCACCTAATTCTCCGACTTGCTCTGATGGACGGAGCTGGCTGTGATCACTTACTACTCCCGGAACCTCAGTTTCTTCACTTGATAAATGGAGACAGATCTCTCTCTTTCTCATAGGATGGTTGTGTGGAAAAACGTTTTATAAACTGTAAGGTACCATATAAATGATGTTGCATTAAGAGATTAAGGGACGGTAATAGTTTATCCCTGTGTTCAAAGCTCTGTATGAGTTGGACTGAACCACGTGCACTAGGGACTATAAAAAAAAGGAAAAGAGGGGGGAAAGAGGCTCCCTGACCTCATTAACCAGACACAAACAAAACATGTGCAAATATGCTGGCAACGTCCACGAGGAGTAACGCTGTAATTGAAATGAAGTTTATGACTAGCTCGGGGGGTGTGGGGGAAAGGAAGGGGTATATCAGAGCTGTTAGGTTTATTCAGCAACTAGTGACTGAATACCTACTACGTGCCACACGCTGTTCCAGGCACCGGGGATACTGAAGTGAAAACAGACACAAGTCCCTGCCTTCACGGAGCAGGGCACGCAGACCACCTGGAGCGTCAGTAAGGGGCGGCCTCTGACTCAGTGGGCCTGGGCTGGGGCCTGAGGCTCTGCACTGCCAACAGCTGCCCCGGTGATGTGATTGCTGCTGTGTTGGGCACCACACTCGGAGTAGCAGGGGCTGTGAGAGCAGGATATGCGTCACTTTGTCAAAGGGAGGGACGTAAATGCGTCAAAAGCAGGTGAAGAACACATTCTGGGGCAGGACGCTGGGAAGGAAGGGAAACTTCTGGATGGGTGAACAAAGCTAGAGGGTCAGGGAATCTCCCCACTGCCGCCCGTGACCCGGGAGGCCCTAGACACCTCTGATCCTAACGCGGAGCGGAGCGCTTGGCACATGCGGGAATTCTGCAGGCATGTGCTGAGAAGGGGCTGGCTGGGGCTCAAGCTCAGTTTTACTGGAGGTCCCCCACACCAACTACAAGGGCTGGCTGTGGTCAGCAGGCATGCGCCCTGCTCTGTGGGATCTTGAAGCCGCCCTCGGTGGGGTGAGGGGGGTAGTAGGAGAAACGTATTTATTCTTCCCACCTTAGACACCGAACAGATGTTCCCACGTTCAGTGAGGGTGTTACAAGAAGGACCAATGTGGGCTGCAGCAGAATGGATTTAAGTCAGACCACAGGAAGGACTTTCTGCCAGTTTGGCTTGCCTCACTCCATACTGTCTCATGAGGGCTGGGTTACTGGTCTCCCATTCCCATCCAGCCCCCCTCTTCCCAAGCCCCAGTAAAAAACAAACACCCACCCATCGCATAGGGCGGGACGCGGCTGAACTGGGGAAGCAGAACGGCGGTGAGACAGGGACGAGCTCCACGCCACAACTCCAGCGTCTTCCATCTCCAAACAAAGCACCGCGGCGGTGGGCGGAACTCCGGGCTGTGCGTCAGGGGCCCTTTCCGGCCTGGCCCAGCCGGGGTGTTTATTCGGTTTGTTCCTGGAAGCTGCTGCCCTGATGGACAGGGCCGGGGACGCTGATCCCATGGGATTGCTCTGTCTGGTCAGCCTGCTCACCCCTCCCCCGGGACAGATGGGCCCCGTCAGCCTGCCGAGTTCCAGAAGAGGCATCGGCCCTCCTTGTGTTTGAGCTGGTATCACCAGTGGTGATCCTCTCTGTGGGGGAGGGGGTACCCAGAGCCCAGGGCAGCCCAGCTTTTCCCCTCTACCCACCGGCCACCCTCCCTTCTCCGCACCCACTCCTAGGCCCACCTGGGGGGCTTTCCCAATCCACAGGCTCATTCCCAACCCAAACCAAAGTCTCCTCTGTTTGTAGCAGGCCCCCACCTGCTTTGTTTTTTCAGAAAGGGGGAGAGAAGGTGTGCCTTGATGTGTTAGGACAGGAGAAGGGTGAATTCCCAGCAAATCAAGAAAGGTGTTGGGGAGAGAGAAAGGAAATGAGGAGTGGGTGAGTGAGTCAGACCTCATTTGGTGGCCTTGTGGGAGAAAAAGTGATGATACATTCTGGTCTTCTTCCGGAGGCTGGTGGTGGAGTCCGGGCTGAGTGTTTGAAAGGAATGCCGGGAAAAATCTGAGAAGGACTCTGCCAACCCCCCTATCTTTTAGTAGCCAAACGATCTTATTAGTTCATACTGGGCAAACGGGGGGCTGGAATACGGGGAGTGTCACCCTCTTGCTTTATCTTGGCCTTTGGCTTCCCACAGCAACAGCCCTCTGCCCACGCAGGACACCCGCCCTGTAAGCTGGGGAAAGGGTTTTGAAAGAATCACGACTCCTAAGCCACAAAAGGCCGCTGGCTGGAAACAGAGTGTGGGGAAGAGAGCTGGGAGTGGGTCTCCTCCCCAGATCTCAGCGCTGGGAATGAGGATCTCAGCTGCATGGGTCTGACTAGGGCTGAAAACATTACTCAGAGCTGCCCTTGATGACTCTTCCCACTGGCCCCTCCCTGTCTCCATCCTTCTTCCCCCAAACCATGCCTTCGTGGACCAGCCATGCAGGACGTGCCTCTTACATGTGGGAGTGTTATCTCAGACTCTTGTTAGTTTATTTTTCCATGAGGCTCTTCGTGTTTGTTAAATAAACAGGCAATGGGTTTATGTGACATGCCCGCAGCTCTGTGTGTGTGTGACACATGCCTGGCCTGCGTTCCGGGAGTGTGTGTCACTTTGGCCTTCGGCAGGGGAACTGTGATGCTAGGAGACCACTCATTACTCTCTCCCCGCAGCAGCTGTAGGACTGTTTATCGGAGCTGGTGGGGATCGGTTCTATCCGTCAGCCTCAGGGAATGTGGGCTGGGGAGGGGAAGGCGCCACTCCAAGGTGTGAATGCCAAGCCTGTCCTGATGCAGAAAAAGGGCCGGAACTCTGACAGGGCCCTCTCCACTTTGCAGGTACATCGGGGCGCTGGGGGCCCGAGTGATCTGTGACAATATCCCTGGTCTGGTGAGCCGGCAGCGGCAGCTGTGCCAGCGTTACCCAGACATCATGCGCTCGGTGGGCGAGGGAGCCCGAGAGTGGATCCGAGAGTGTCAGCACCAGTTCCGCCACCACCGCTGGAACTGCACCACCGTGGACCGGGACCACACTGTCTTTGGCCGTGTCATGCTCCGAAGTAGGGGCCCCTTCCCCTCTGCCCAGCTCTTCCCTCCCTGCCTGTGCTTGGGGTGGTGAGTGGGTAGGGCAGGCGTGATCCCCTCCCCCGTCTCCTGCACACTTCTTCATAATCAGAGGGACAGTTGTGGGCGGAGCGCAGGATACAGTTGGGAACAGACCCTCAGTACTTAGATAGTAGCCAGGGTCCTTCTAGGTCCCGGGATTCTGGGATGTAGGGACAAAGGAGCGGCATTCCATCTTTCTTCCTCCTTTCCCTTCCTCCCCAGCCCCCAGCACTGTCAGGCTGAGGACTGGGTTCTTATCACACGATCACTGCCCTCACTCTAATACTCCCAACACTACAGTAATGGGAGCAAAGGATAAACAGAAAGGTGATACATAAATATTTGGAGAGCCAGCGGCTTAGCCCCAGCTCAGCAATAAAGCTAAGCAGAGGCTTAACAGTCAACTAGGAGGAAGGGAATGAGGTGTCGGAGGGACAGGAGAGATGGGTCACTGATCTGGGAGAGCACCGAGGGAAGGAAACAAGCGGGAAAGTAGCCTGTCACTCCAAATGAGCTGACCCCTGGGCCGGGGGGCCCCTGGTGGGAACTGTCCAGCAGAGTGGGCCTGAACAGGCTTAGCTGGGCCAGGACTGCACTCAGTTGGAGGGTGACTCACCCTGAGACTTGCTCATGGATATATCCAAGAAGTTTGGAAGGGAGCAAGAGCCCAGGTCAGCCCAAGAGGCCAGATGCACAAAGAAGTGATGGAAAGTAGTGAGGCTGGGGAGGGACCAGGCAGTCTGCAGATGCTCTGGAAGAAGGGCAGTTTGAATAAAGAGGGTCCAGGGGCTGCTCCAGGAGAAGAGACTTCCCAGTCGCGGTTCTGAGCCTCCTTGCTGAGACTCTTCTCCCTCCTCTCCAGGCAGCCGGGAGGCAGCGTTTGTGTACGCCATCTCGTCCGCAGGGGTAGTTCACGCCATCACCCGCGCCTGTAGCCAGGGGGAGCTGAGTGTGTGCAGCTGTGACCCCTACACCCGTGGCCGACACCATGACCAGCGTGGGGACTTTGACTGGGGCGGCTGCAGTGACAACATCCACTATGGCGTTCGCTTTGCCAAGGCCTTCGTGGATGCCAAGGAGAAGAGGCTCAAGGATGCCCGGGCCCTCATGAACTTACACAACAACCGCTGTGGCCGCACGGTCAGTATTCATGTCTGTGCGTGTGCCTTCCTCTTTGCCGGGGCGGCGCTCTGTGTGATCACGGACTGAATGTGAAGGAGGAGGTGCTGACGGCTCTGGGTCACTTCCAAAAGACCCAACCCCTTGGGTCAGGAGCAGTAAACACAGGAAGCTTGCAAATGCCGAGGTGCAGCCAGGTACACAGAGTCCTCACACAGGTGGTAGGCAGGGGGAGATGAAGAAAAGCAGGGCAGTAACGCTTTAAGAAGGAAAAGGCTGCCTCCATAACGACTGAGGAGGAGAAGGGCTTGTTCTGGTCAGTCACTGGTCTCTGAGCATGTCCTCTGTGCCTGGTCCTTGCTGGAAAGTGACATGCCACAGAAGGAGAAGGCATGACACCCTGAACTCCAAAATACGTGATGTGCCAGCATCCTGAAATCGTAAGCAGAATCCTGTGGCCCTAACGTTCAAACGGCCTGTCGTAAAAAGAACACTGTTGGTCCAGGAAGGCTTCCTGCAAGGAGAGCTGCTTGCATTTGATCAGGAAGAACGGGTGGGATTGGTAGGGAAAGATCAACCAACGGCTGCACTGGTTAGCCAGGATCAGGGCCCGAAGAGGGCAGAGCACTCATGCTTTCAGTCCTGGGGTGATGAAGGGCCCTGACTGGCTGCCTCTCCTCTGCCTGCCCCCACCCCCAGGCCGTGCGGCGCTTTCTGAAGCTGGAGTGTAAGTGCCACGGCGTGAGCGGCTCCTGCACGCTGCGCACCTGCTGGCGAGCGCTCTCGGACTTCCGCCGTACGGGGGACTACCTGCGGCGGCGCTACGACGGGGCCGTGCAGGTGACGGCGACCCAGGACGGCGCCAACTTCACCGCGGCCCGCCAAGGGTACCGCCGCGCCACCCGGACCGACCTGGTCTACTTCGACAACTCCCCGGACTACTGTGTCTTGGACAAGGCCGCAGGTGGGTAGAGAAAGCAGATGGGGTGTGGGGGCACGGAGTCCAGCTCTTAGTGCCAGCACCCCTGGGTGGTCACGGTTGGTTCAGCCTCAGGAGTTAGGGAGGGGAGCTGAGGGAGGAGGTAGTCTCCTCCTGATAGGAAAACCTCATACTGAGAATGATGATTTATGCCTCAGTCCGCCAGGCCCAGTGCTGCCCCAGCAGAGAGGAGAGGGCGCTCACTCCGTCGGGCCTGAGGTCCATGTGGTTACAGACGTGACAGATATCACTCAGTGAACGTAAACAAGTCACCTGCTCTCAGTATCTCAGGACTGAGCAATGCATGGACCACACCGAAGCATGAGATGCAGCCCCAAGCCATTGGCTCTTTACAATTTAGCTAAGAAATGAGATGTAACAGGTAGACAGATGCAATTGCAAGAGAGACAACTGGAGAAATCAGGAGGAGCTGAGCTGCAAATGTGGGCCGTAAGCTGCTGCTTGAGGTGTGGGGTCATCTGGGTGTAGAGAGGACGGGCGTCGTTTACACAGAGCACAATGGCAGAGGGTGCGCGACCTGCTCCAGGAACAGATTAATATCCGGAGTGGAGAGTTCGAGTGAAGGAGACTGAAGGTAGAAGGACAGTTGGGATCAGACCATCAGTGGCCTGAAAGGCTTTATCCTGTTTAATGGGGGGCTAGGGAGGCAAGGAGAACAGGGTCCTGCCAAGGCGAGCCACTGCACTGGCGGGTGCCAGATGTTGCGGTGGGATTGTCGGGGATGCTGGAGAGTGATATGGAGTTACCCCAAAAGAATGGAAGTTACTGTCTGGGCCATGTGATGACTATCTGAAATACAGCTAGGGTGACCGAGGAACTAAGTTGTAAAATTTATTTAGTTTTAATTCTTTTAACTCTAAATGAGCACATTTGGCTATTGGCTACTTACTACACCAGATAACTCAGCTCCAGAGGGTAGGGGAGACTTTTGATGCCAGGAAGGACTTAAGACCCAGCCCTTGCCATTATGAGATTAACATGCATAGGAGACCTAGCCAGCCCATGCCCCAAGTGGTCTCTTGACATTTGGATTGTATATTTCTAATGTATAAAAAACTAGAGCATTCATCTCCAATATATGCATATTTACTTATAAACTCCATCTATGTCCCACTATACTAAGATGTATATTATAAAACAATACAGAATCCATATTTTAAATTGATGAGGTAAAAAGCAAATATAGAGGTTCTTGTATTTTCTTCTCTATCCAGCTACTACAGAGATCAGTTAACTGATTCCCCTTCTTGAACCCCCAGGCCAGGCTAGTGTTCCCATCTCTGGGAAAGGGCTAGAGGAGATACTGCCTAAGGTCCATCCCAGCCAGAATCCTTTGGCTTTATGGTCTGTTGGCAGGGTCTCCTGTGCTAACATCAGTGAGAATGGGTTCTGAGCATCATCTGTGCAGAGGGAAAGCATCTCCCCTACCCTTCAAGGGTTCCCCACTATAGGATCATTAGGAATTCCTTAGGGGTGTGCTTCCAGCCAGTCATGCCAATCAGTTCACCTCCTCGCTGAACAGACTGTAGATATAACCCAACAATCCACTGAGTTAGATGCTATTATGGTGCCTATCGTCAGATGAGAAAAACAAAGCCCAGAGAGATTAACCACTATAAATCACAAAGCTAAAAGTGGCTGAATGGCATTTAAACCTAGACACTGAAACCAGGCCCAGCTTTTAATGGCCATACTATACTCCTCCTCTGTATAGTACAACTTAATAAACTATCAACTATGGACCAAAATACTAACAAATAGTAGCTGGATCAGAGTTGTGACAAGAACTCTTGGAAAAGATAAATTATAGGCTGTTATTTCTTTTAACTCCTTATTATGGGAAAACTCAAATATAAAAGAGAGGGCCTTCAGCCAGCGTGAACAATAACAAGGTTTTAAGGCGAGGCTTTGAGGGGGGGGGGAGGGCCCGGCAGGTGAAGGCAGTGTCTTGGGGTGGTCTTGCTGGCAGGAGGAAGTGAGGCTGGTATAGAGGGCCGTGAGGAGATGATCGTTTTGGCTAGTGGGTATATTTTCAGGAAAAGAGATTCTTTATGGTTTCTTCGGGAGCATGTGGATAAGGGAACCCAGAGCAGCTGAATTAAGACGTACCTTGGTGTTCTCTCTCTCCTCTCTCTCTCTCTCTCTCTCTCTCTCTCTCTCTCTCTCTCTCTCTCTCTCTCTCTCTCTCTCTCTCTCTTCCTCAATTCAGGTTCCTTAGGCACTGCAGGCCGTGTCTGCAGCAAGACATCTAAAGGGACAGACGGCTGTGAAATCATGTGCTGTGGCCGAGGGTATGACACAACTCGAGTCACCCGTGTCACCCAGTGTGAGTGCAAATTCCACTGGTGCTGCGCTGTGCGGTGCAAGGAGTGCAGAAACACTGTGGACATCCACACCTGCAAGGCCCCCAAGAAGGCAGAGTGGCTGGACCAGACCTGAACATGCCAACACCTCACTCATCCCTCCACTCCAAACATCCTGACTCGGAAGCACAAGATCTTTGCATGCACACCTTCCACCACCCTCAACCCTGGGCTGCTACAGCTTCTATTTAAGGACTTGGAGAGTGGCCCAGAGGGACTCTGGTGCCCTGGCTGGTTCCTTAGCCCTTGGAGGAGTCGACAGGGACGTAAGAAACTGAGCAGCTCCGACTCCCTGCTCTGGAGGCTAGGAGGGGGGCGGAAGAGGTGTAGGTGTGATATGAGTTGCACTAAAGTACGCGGTCGAGCTCGTGTCTCCTCACTGGCTTCCTGACACTTCTGTGTGTGCGAGAGGAGAGGCACCAGAGAGCGCTTCCTTTCGCCCCTGCCTGGCTGAGGGAGGATAGGACAGAGGTGAAACCACTATCTCCTCCCTAGCTCAGTTTGAGCAGACCGCCTGGTTCCCAAAACAACCTCTTGGGCTGCAACGTTCTTTCATTATGGAGAGGGAGATGAGAGTTAGCCACAGTGGACAAGATTCCATTCATATGCTCATGTGTTTCTAAACTGCTGTTTTGTAAGGGGAAAATTATATAACTATACAAACATACATTCTCTTCCCGTCGCGCTCTCCTTTTCAGCCTACATCAGGCAGCACTGCTCCCTTTGCTCACTTGCTGCCTGTTTAAATGAGTGGCAGGCAGTGATACCCATGCCTACCAGATCATCAGAATTCCCTGAAACTTCCTGAGAAAGAGTAATTCAGTAAGCCTTGGGATTTTTTTTTTTTTTTAAGTCCCCACGCATTATTCTGGTGGTCAACCAGATTGAGGAAACACTGAGAAAAAGGTGTAAGACTCGTGGAGGCGGGAGAGGGCAGCAGTCCTGATCTCAAGGATCCACAATAGGCCTCCGTGTATCCTAAGCAGGTAGAGATCTCCAGCTTTGGCAATTTCTAGGAGAGGATCCTGGTAGTGGGATCCAGTGACTACAGAGGAAAGGAGAGCTGGGGCTTGGAGCCAAAGTGGTGAGCATCTTAGAAAGCAGCCTTTCCCCGATAATTTTCTCACCCCCTCAGCAAGAACACGTCTTTCCGTAGCGACTCTGGTGACGATGACTGTTGTTCCTTCCATGTTTGGCTCTCACAGGGGAGTTCCTTCCATGCTACTACCCGCTCCCTAAGTCAGCTTGCGGTAGCTGAGTCTCCAGAGGCAAGCCAGTGGGTACAAAGTGAAGTCTCTAAAACTGTGATGTCCTATTTTTATGTGATCTGAACAGTGATTATCTTCCTGCTGATATCTTAAAGGAGCAGAATACTGTAGAAATTTGCAGTTATGACAGACACGGGTTGGAATCACAGCTATTTTTGATATTTTGAGCAAGATACTCAAATTCTCTGAGCCTTTACCTTCTCATCTGTAAAATGAGGGTATAAAACTATCTCAGATACTGAGTTTTAATTATGCTCCAAACTCTAGCCAACAGACACTCTCTCCAAAGCCCCTGACTGGTCTCCAAAGCCCCTGACTGGTCTCACCCATCATGACTTACTTCAGAGCCTTCAACTAAGGACAATCAAGTACTGACAGCAGGCTGTGGATTCAGGGGCCTACCCAAGGAATTCTGAGTGTGGCCTCCCTCCTTTCCCAAGCTCCTCTCTAACATCTCTTGGGGTCCTCACATGTTTGTGGAACAGCTTCACTCTGCACAGGCAGCAGAAGGAGCCATAGCTTGGGGCTAGGGGGGCAGATTTATTTGCATGATAGGACTAATATTTGTGTAACCTGCGGAGACCTGTGTGGGAGAGTTTGGGGTGGTTTTTCTTTTGGCAAGGGGGTGTGCTCCGATTTCACATCCATTAACACAAAACATAAGCTAGTCAGGGCCCTTGTGGTCTGCGGTGAGGGGATGCCTGTGGAGAAATGGGACTGAGTGAGTCAGGCCAGGGGAATGTCTTCCTTGAAGAGTGGAGGCAACTGGATAACTGATGAGCCAATGGTAGGATGAGGGAGGGGGCGCGAGAGGGAAGAGACGAGCTTCTGACATCTTGAGCTGGGATTAGGAGGAGGAAAGCCTCAGGGTAGTGCGAAGGTAAGAGGTTACAGCCAGTCTGAACTCAATAGTAGAGTCGAATGCATTTCTAAAAGGGTGCTGTCCTGTATGTGGGGCTGCTGGGAGAGCCTCCAGGCCCGGTTAGCCCCTGCTCTCACAGAATGTCCAGGTAACCACGTTGAGTGATAGCATGGGCCTTCCATGGGACATCAACCTGAGTTCAATAGACTTGTCTCTCTTATCTGTTTTCCTTTCTTACCCCGGGGAGGGAATGGGCCTCTTCTGACATCTGACTGTTCCATGCTTTTCTCTGGCATCCAACTTCTGATTCAAAGAGACCCACATTTTGCATTTTCCTATAGTGGTTAGGCGAAGAGTGGGCTGTCCAGAGTGAGCGGTTTGAAAAGCGAGGCGGGTAGGGAGAGAAAAGAGGTCCACGTGAGCCCCGCCACAGAGGTTATGTGGCTCCAAGAAGGAATGATGGCCAAGCCATTAATTATGCCTCTTCTTCCTTAGCTTGCCTGTGCATTCCAATCGGCTTTAGACAGCTGGCGTCTATTCTGTGCTATACAAACAGAAACTAACGTTATTTGGAACAAGAAGCAAAAGGAGAACTTTACTTGGTGTAGTCGGGGCTCCATGTCATTCTGCCACTGCTTACTCCCTCGCTGCCTCCAATCTCCCCTCTCCCAGCCCTCCTGTCCCTCAGACCAGCCGTCTCACAGCCCGTCTCCACTCTTCCACTCCTCCCTATTGGTCCTTATTTCTTTTCACATTGAACAGTTAGGTAAAAGGCAGACAGAAATGCTACCTGGACACAAAGATAACCTAAAAGAGGTTCTCTCTCTCCTTTAAGGATCTCAGAATCTTCCAGGGAAGGCATGTGACACGGTGCCCCGCTGCCTGCCTGCAGCCAGCTTCTCTATGGAACAAAGATGCCAGCCTTCACTGTGCCTTGGAGATAAGAGCCAACCTGTATTATTGCCAACCTTGAATGGCAGCTCTAATCCCTACTCTTCCTCAGAGAGATGCTGCAAAAATTCAATCAGAGACTAGACTATTTAAAAGAAGGAAGTACTGCCTGGCCGTGAGCGTCTTTCTGTGAAAAGTCCTATAGGTCTGACTCATGACCGCTCACTGCCTCATTTCTCTTCCTCCTCAGAGCAGAGAGTAACTTCTCCTTTCTCTCACCTCCCTCAGCAAGAACACCACCCGCTAAGTCCTTGCCAAATTCTCAGGCCCACTCCGGACATCAGCTTAATACAAGAGAGATTATGAGGATTTTCCCCTCTGCTTTTCTGAGGTTTTATTTAAATGGCCTCAGTGGTCATAGGGCAGAAGCCCAAGCGAGGACACCGGGAGAGTATGTTTCTCACCCCCAGAGGCTCCTGCAGCCCAATTACAGCACCAGAGAACAATGTGATGCATTCCTGGGCAGGTCGGTGGGACCCTGGGCGCCTGGGCCTTGCGGGGAGAGGTGCCAGACACAGAGCTCTCCGTAAGCAATCCTGCAGAGCCGCCCCCTGGGTGCGCAGATGAAATACGGGAGCTTCACATTACACAGAGGCCTAGAGCTCACACCTGGTTATTGATGGCCTTGGCGGAGGCCTCTGCCCCCACCTCCACTTAAGAGCTGCCTGCTACCACGGGGGCTGGGCATCTTTGAAGCAATGCTGGAAAACAAGAGATGCTTCCTTTTCACGCTTTGCCCTCCGAGTCTGCACACAACCATGAGGAGACACTTACACATGAGGTGCACCTATACGGGCATACATATACATATATGAACATACACATAGCTTCTCTCATTCTAGTCATCCTCCCAGCAGCAAAAAATAAAAAAGCAACTAGATTTCAATCAAATTCTCCAAAACTCATATCAACAGCAGAGATTCAGCTATAACCAAAGAATATTAAAAAGTTACATGCAGGCAGCTGTTTGGTTTGGGGACCAGTTGTCACCTGGGGGTGGGAGGAGAAGGAGCCAGAAAGGGATGACAATTAGCACCCAAGTGAGGGGTCTGAGATGTCTCAGGGCTGATTCAGCTGGAAACAGTACAGTTCCTGCTCTGAATGCCGTGTGTGGTGAGGTACCCTCTGACAGCTCAGGCCCTATAGTTCCTAACTCTGTCAGGTTAGAAGCAGGAGAGCTTTGGGCTCAGAGATGATCTCTCCAAGAGAGGTATTGGAGAGGAGCGAGCAGTGGCTCTACCAGAGCAAGTATGTCACAGTTACTGCACTGAACTGAGCTTCCCCAGAAGAGGATTCTACTGTCAGGTTTCAGGCTATAGCCAGAGGGCTCTCAGTAATATCCATCCTATCCTGCCTCCAAAGGGATAGGAGAGGGAGCGTATATGAGCACATTTCCCCACTTCCCTTTCATGACTTAGAGGATCGCTAAGCATCTTTGTGGCTATTCCTCCTTTACTTATGATGTTTTAAAACATCCTGGATTTGAGAAAGCAAGGTAAGCATTCCTGTGCCCCCCCTCCCCGCTTTGGCCCCCTAACTGAACTACCTTGGCTTCCAATTTGCCTTTGCTCACTTCCATTCTGCCTGAGTCTATGGAAGGAGCAGCAGGCCACACAGTTCCCTTTCTTTGACCAAAAGGAACTGAAATCTGGAGACTTTATTTCAATACCACCAGCCCCTATAAGCAGGCCTGACCAGACAGAAAGGCTACACTGAGTGAGAAAAAAGGAATACAGTTTAATCCACAGCTGTTCTACTTGACAACTTTTTCAAGGTAGGGCTTCCCCAAGGATAAATGTGGTCCTCACCCTGGCCAGTGTGGCTCAGTTGTTTGGGTGTCGTCTGGTATACCAAAAGGTTGCTGCTTTGATTCCCAGTCAAGGCACGTACCCAGGGTGCAGGCTCCATCCCTGGTAGGAAGCATGCAGGAGGCAACCAATAGCTGTTTCGTGCTCACATCCATGTTTTTCTCTCTCTCTCCTTTCCTCTCTAAGGTAATCAATAAAAAATATTTTAAAATGTGATACTCATAAAAAACATTTTTATGTACAAAATGCTTTAGCACATATAACTCTCACACCAACCTTGTGAGGTAGAAGTTACATTCACTATACAGGTATCATTCAGAGACTGGTGATTTCTCCAAGGTCACGTTGGATATTGAGTAACTCAGCCAGAACTCAAACTTATTTTTACTTCAAATCCTGTGTGCCTTCAAAGACTGGGGATGCCTCGGGCTGGAGGCACCAGAGTCCCAGCCCCTTCAGAACAAATGGGTACAAAACATCTGAGCAGAACTGACAAAAGGAACAGCCTGGTCCTTCTCTAATCATCAATGAACCCCCTTTTGCCATTTCTGCCACATGATCACTAGACTGAGTGCTCTGGGTCTTAGTTCTTTTTTCTATTCCTTTTTACTTCTTCAGGTTAACACTTAAAAATTTGTTTTCGTTTTATCTAATTCTTTTCAAGTGATACTGAATGTAAGGAAAAGCCACAGGCTTTTTTAATGTATGTATTAGAATTTCCTTTGAGACTTCACTCTTTTTTTTAAATGCTGACAACCGCTGGGCTAGGAAAGTAAAA